AGTAGTTTTGTTGCTCCAAGAATAAATCCAATAAGTAAAATGTCTACGTAAGCCTGCGCGATTGTTAGGGCATGAATTATATATGTTCATAAGATAAGATATAATTCAGAAACAATTGTAATATATTATACTTATCAAATGTAGTTAACGGAAAACATTTCGACTTTGAATTTAAATCTTTTCTAATTCGAAAGGTAAGTACAAGTAGTTTATATGAATATATATTTTATGCATTAACAGTTGCAGAGGCTTATATATAGACATTTATATCATGTATATTTATATCATATATAGATACTTTAAGTATATTAATTTCTAGTTGTATTGAAGTTCCAAGATCTTAATTTTGTACATAACTATTTAATCATCTTAATTTTAAATCTAATATTTAATAAATCTTCTCAAATAAGAGTTAGTTTCAATATAAATATTTATTTACTTTGATGTACATAATACAAAAAAAATCTCAATGCTCTCTAATTGTTGTTTACGATTGTTATTTACTTTCAGTATCAGCAAATTAAAAGACTTTACAGAGGCTGCTCTCCGATTTATTAAGTCAGAGATTGAAAATACAATGAAATCTGAACTTAACATGGAAGTTCCTGTTATAAATGAAAATATCATTGTAGATGCTTCAGACATATTTGGAATACTACCGTTTTATATTAAAAAGGGTCCCTATATATTTTATGAGAATTATACATTTACATTTACAACTCCTACTGCAAAATTGAATACATTAAAGCTGCTAAGAGCATTGCAGTTAAATAAACCGATTCTTCTGGAAGGAAGTCCAGGTGTAGGAAAAACAAGTCTGGTTTCTGCACTCGCGAAAGCTACAGGGCATACTTTGCTCAGAATCAACTTAAGCGATCAAACGGTATTATAAAACGATGCATTATTTTTATCATATTTTAAATATTTTTCATATTCTAAATAATTAATGTATAGCTTATTTTATCGGAAATATGACTTATTTTCATCATCAGAAATTAAATAACGTTGCTTCTATCGTGTTCTATAGGATGTGTCAGATTTGTTTGGTGCCGATCTTCCCGTAGAAGGCGGGAAAGGTGGTGAATTTGCATGGCGGGATGGTCCATTTTTGCGAGCTTTGCGTGCCGGATATTGGATTCTGCTCGACGAGCTAAATTTAGCCTCGCAATCGGTCCTAGAAGGTCTTAATGCATGTTTTGATCACAGAGGAGAAATATACGTTCCCGAATTAGGAAAAACATTTTCAGTCAAACCTGGTACAAGGTTGTTCGGTTGTCAAAATCCCTTGCGGCAAGGTGGAGCCAGACGAGGCTTACCAAGATCCTTTTTAAATAGATTTACTCAGGTACATTCTGAACATATGACAATGCTACAAAAATAATTTCTATAATTCGAAATTTTTCTATAATCCTGTTCTTGCAGATTTCTGTAGCTGCATTAATGGAAGACGATTTGAAGTTTATACTCAGTGTGCAATTTCCACAACTTCCTATAGAATTGATCAATCACATGGTGCAGTTTAATAATAAATTAGCGTCAGAAGCTGGCATTGTATGGGGACATACTGGTTCTCCATGGGAAATGAATCTTCGAGATATTATCCGATGGTGCGAAACGACTATCGAAGCAGCTTCTAACGAATTTCGCGACAATAAACAATATTTTAATCCAGGAGACAGTGTAGAGCTCATTTATGTTAATAGAATGAGAACTAATGAAGATCGACAAAAGGTAAATCGCGATCATTGTTATAAAATTGTATTCAAAAATCAAGAATAGCGAAAAATAACAGAAAAAAATTAGTATGGAAGAAAATTGCTTTTATTAAAATAAAATATATTAAATTCTAATATTTTAAAAATAGAATGCTATCCATATTTTGGATTTGTTTTGCAGGTCTATCAGATATATCAAGAAATGTTTTCGTCTGAAAAATATCCTCTTCCACCTAATCAACTGCCCATGCACATCACAACAGACAAATTTGTCATCGGTGAAGTGATGTTAAGTCGGAAAAATTGCAGCGAGCCCCAGGACTTTAATTTGTTAATACTTAGAGATCAGAAAAGAACTTTAAAGAGTCTCATGCAATGCGTTAAAATGAATTGGATGTCCATACTTGTAAGTTATTCATAAATATTGTATCCTTGAATACTTTTTATTAGAGTTCTATCTTTAGTTTATAAGGTCAAATTTACTATTATAGGTTGGTACTTCAGGCAGCGGGAAAAGCAGTGTAGTTCGTTTACTTGCCGCTTTAACAGGCCAAAAACTGAGATCAATTACCGTAAATTCTGCAATGGACACGACAGAAATATTAGGTGGCTTTGAACAGGTAAGTGAAACAAATATTTAATATTAATGTTAGCTAAATGCTAATGTGTTTATCAGAAGCCATCCACCTTTTATTATTCGAAGAGCGATCATTCTCTGCTTGTTCTCAGTCATAAACTTCCTAAGAAATTCAATGATTTAATATAGCAGTTTATATTGATTATGTTCTATATAACGCTCACAACGCTCAAACGCGTGGAATTATTTCTTATCTTTGTTTATCTTTGTTTATCAAATGTTTATCAAAAGGATATAATGTGTTCATTAAAAGGATAAATGATGCTTGAGTGAGAGCGTGGCAAGCGTTAAGTAGAACACATGCATAGCTTGTCGTTGATATCTGCATTAGTAAATGATTTTGGTATGATTTTGGTTCTACTAGTTTCAATTTAATGACAACATTATCTTGAACCGATAGAATTTAGCCAATTTAATCGATAGTTTAATTAACAATAATTCATTATATGATAACAATTAATCATTTATTTTCTTATTATTTTAGACGGACTATAATCGGCATCTTGAACAACTATTTGAGCACGTAGCGACTTTACTTATCGAGAGTCTGCAAACAAAGATAACTATTGATAAATTGGAGCAAGTTACCGAACTTCATGAACATCTGGAGCAAGTACGACATTTATTCGGTAAGTAAAACGAGATCACTAGAAAAGGCTTTCTTTCTAACGGCAAACGAAGAAACCTAATTTTCTGTATTGGAATAAGATCTTATCACTCGTCGTCCATTTGTCGCCAGATGAAAACGTCGCCGGTAGAACAATGGTTATAGAAACCAAATTATTCTTACATAAAATTGAGAAATTGTTGAAATTAATATCGGCGATGAAGCTTTGGGAACCTTCTCGCGAATCGCAGCTACAAAATATCGAGTCGAGGTTGAGGAATTTGTCGATTTTTGTCGAAGAAGATAAATGCTTGAATGCTGGTGGAAAATTCGAATGGGTAGACAGTGTGTTAGTAAAGGTATTCCATCAATAACATGCTTTTATAGATTTTTTTGTCAAAGGAAAGAGCTACATTTCTATTATTATCTATATTACAAAGCCATTACTATACGGTACTGTAAAGTACCATAAGTGAAGTACTTATATATTTACATACATGTAGAAAATATTTTGAAAAAGTTACTTTAAATTTATTTTTCATATTTTGTAATCCTCGAACTTATGTTTTTACAAACACTTCGCATATTTTATGTACATAGCGCTAACGATAAAGTTGCGCTACTTAAACTTTACTTCAAACTTTTATTAATATTAGTCTTAACACACAATAATGTAAATATTGCATAAGTTTTAATAGTAAAAAAATTGCTATTTTTGAAATTTTCCCAACGTGTGAAACTATATCTATATATTTATCTATATTTTATTATTTATAAACATCGATTTTAGAAACTTTCATTACTTAATATATCTACTTTATATTATCATTTTTTTTTATTATTATATTAGATGTCAAGTTAAAATGAAATATAAATATTTATGTGATTATTCTACAATTTAACAATTTACTAAATATAAAATATTTTAAATAAATTATATAACATTTTATATATATTTTATACAATTACAATTTTCATCTTCATTCGGAAAAGCTATATTACCATTTTGATAAACAGGTAGACTAATATTATAAAATCCTACTTTTCAATTAGCAAAGCCATTAAATGAAGATGTAACTTCATTTTATTCAAAGCAATACAATAACGGAGTCATCTTTTAGTGCTTACAAGATGGTACTTGGCTACTTATCGATCAAGTTAATCTATGTAGCTCCGCTGTATTAGACAGACTTAATGGATTGTTAGAGCCAAATGGTGTTCTCTGTATTGGTGAACGAGGCATTGATAGCAATGGTAATGTCGTTACTATTAAGCCGCATGAAAATTTCCGTCTATTTCTAACTATGAATTCCCGATACGGCGAAATTTCCAGGTAACTTATCTCTCGATATCTGTAAGTTAATAATTTATCAATCATATGATCTTGTTATAATCAATCATGCATAAAAAATTAAATTATTACTTTATTCCAAAAATGTTATATTGATCATAAATTCTTCTATATTCCTAACGCAAATATATTTATTTAACACAGATGAAATAAAAAAAAATTTGCAAAATAACAACTTTATATTAGAATATTTAAAATAGAATATTTAAAAAAATATGCGATATTCAATATATAATCGTAAAGAAGATTTAAAACCATTTTACGAATTCCGGGGAAATTATATTAATTATATCGTAATAACATAATTTACATTATCGCGTAATACAAATTATGACCGATGATTTTAGAGCCATGCGTAACAGAGGCGTCGAGATTTATATGCTCGACTCGAAGGAAAATGTCGACAAGAATGTAATCGATTTCAACTCACTGTTGTTTAACACCGGTATTATAAAATCTACGCATCGGGATGCATTACTAGAGATCTACGATAGAATGTCGGAAGAGATTGCCTGGGATCAATTCAATGTGGTTGATTTGTTGCACACTGCGTTCTTGGTGAAGCAACGATTGCTACGTGGATTCTCTGTAGAGCAATCGATCAGGAACGCATGCATCGATGTTTATATAAAACCTAGACCGAGAGATTCGCGATTCAGAGAACATCTGACTTCTCTGATCGATGAAACTGTTAAGCGACGTGTCACATGCGATGAAGAAATCTCGGTGATCGATTTGAATGCCGCCACATGGAGTGTGAGAAATTTGCAAGATAATTCAAGACTCGTTATAATTAGACAACAAAGTTTATTGTTAAACGCCGCTGTTAAGATATACGAATCCTCTCTAAAATCTGATTCAAGAAATATTATTACAACGAAGTCATTGAACAACTTTTGTGGTCTTAAAAAAGATGAAAAGTTTACATTGGATGTTGACGTTGTTAATATATTACCATATCTTCTCTTGAATTTCTACGAACAATCCTCGCGAGACGACGCGTCACTCAGAAAGGAATTTATTTCGAAAATGCTGCGAGGAAAAGCGATATTTAATGATCTTGAACATAAGAGTGCGCTAATGGCGAAAGTAATCGCACTATATTGTTTCGAATCGACAAATGCAAGAAGTTCATTATCTTGGGATTTGTGGCAACTCATTGGAAGAATAACAAGTGATAACGATGACAATACTTGCAGAGACACGAACAAATTATTATTATTGTTATATGCGTACAATATGATTCTAAAAAAAGATATGTCGCCAAAGAAAATGGAGAATAAAGACTTGATATCCATAAAACTGTACTCTAGCGTTGTAAATGAAGGTAAATATTTTAGATTAAATTGTAATGAATAAATTAATATCTAATAAATAATATATAATTTAATTTTATATCAACGTATCTTGAAATGAAGAATATAACAGTCATTTTTTTTAAGAAAAGTTACAAACTACAATTAAATCAAATCATAAATAATACAATGTTTCATTTCTGCTATAATAAAATGGATCTTACTCAGAATATAAAACAATTTACTTTATAAATAAAAATTTGTGCTTTTAATTCGTAAGAATATCTGTTCGATTTATTATTTATTACTTTTTTTTTAGTTGTCATTTTTCAAAATACGATTTTTATTGGATAGACTATTATATTAACAGAATTTTTCACTTACAGGTAAGCTATTTTCACAATTAAAAAACCAACCGCTCATAATGTATTTTGTGCAGTTCCTTGAACAAACGAGGTCTTGCATTAATGCGATTTTACAAGATATAAATATAAATATCAAAGAGTATATTGATTTAAGAAAAGAATTGAAATGGTTCACGAGATTCGAAACATTAGGCGAATTTACACTTATAGATAAAACGAAAAAGTCTAAGGATGTATTTATGAATTTGGATCGGATTTCTGTGTTGCTAAGAGTACATTATAAATGGCTATTGAAGTTGCTACGCAATCTAACATCCTTGAGTAAAAACGAAACTATGAGCGAAATCGAACAGTTACGAGATATTGTGGACCATATAAACAACCAGTTGGAATCTGTATACGATCCTATTAAAAAAATATCCAAGAAACTTAAGAAGTATTTGACACTTCCATCGCCTCACTCCACGGAAATTAGCATGGAAGTGCAATCGAAGCTGATGAGAATAACGAAAGATTTTGATATGAGGGATGAAGGAAATAGCACTCTGAAACAAGAATTGAAGATTATATCCGTGCAGTTGAAAGACGCACTAGCGATGAGACAACAAATAATCTCTTTATGGAGCGACGTTTACTCCAGAAAGTCGATCGACGAAACGACGTTGCGGATCGTTCATGAGGTAGAGAGATTCTGTGACGAGAGTCACATTCGTCTACGAGTTCCTACGGAAATCGAGGATATTCTAAACAAAGTACACTCTCTTCCAAAGAGGGAAATAATGCAGTTGAATGCGAGGATACCTTTGTGGCCGATTTATGAGTACATATTTCTGTCGCTCGCTTGTACTTTGCAGGGAAAGATGTGTCAGGAAGTAATCATTTCCGATATCACTTTAACGGAATGCCTTGCGAAATTCGCGGATGTAGTCAGTATACCGAGCGATCTGATGGGTTTGCTGAGCGCAATGACTGGAGTTGAGCGAGAATCAGAGCTCTTGTTGCTGCCGGAACTGTTTTGCAGTCTCGCACAATTCATTCAGCAATCTCATGCTTTTAAGGGTACGAGCCGTCTTTTGCACTGGCGCGGTATAACAGAAGAAGATGTAGAAAAATCAATAACTTCTTACGTTGAATCCAAGGTTTGTTAGTCTTATATAATAAATGAGAAAGTTTGAAAAATGTTTTGAGAGATAATTAAAATATTGAAGAATAAAATTCAACGAAGTATATCTATGACTGTATTATATAAAATAATTATATATATTAATTATGTTTTAAATATTCTCTAGTAATTAACAATTCGAGTCTATGATTGCTAAAAATTAAATATTAATAATTTCTATACAGAATATCCCATTTTAATTGATCATTTCAAATCTCTCTCTCTCTTTCTCTCTCTTTCTCTTTCTCTCTCTCTCTCTCTCTCTTGAATAGTGCACTTAGAGAAAAAAATGTTTTAAACAAAAGTTTGTGATTTCAAGGGGAATATAAGATAGTACAATTGGTTTGACCTTGGCCTTGTCAAGGTTAGGATAATTTGAATTGTTTAAATTGAATCTTTTATTTTTCAATACATATTTTTGTAGGACACTTCAAGAGCTTTCCAAAACACTATAATAAAATTTTTTTATGAAATACTTTTTGAGTATAAGGCTTGAAAGTTAGTGTATCGCCGGCATTAGCACTACTGAAAATGTTCAAACAATGGTGCCTAAAAAATGTCTTTTGAATGTTGTTCAGTGTTATGATTTTGATAGCGTTTGAAATACTGGAGATTGTTTCTCTTATTTTCATTTTTGCATTAAAAATTCATTTTTACGTAAAAGTGAAAACAAAAGAAATTTCTAATGATCTTGATCTTAACAAATATTATCAAGGTCCTGTCTGAACATTCAAAAGATCTTAGCCATCATTTGAGCACCTTGAGTAATACTTATGCCAGCGATACTGTAACTTTCAAGCCATATAACTCAAAAAATATTTCATGAAAAAATATTTTATTATAGTGTTTTGGAAAGCTCTTGAGGTATGTTATAAGAACACGTACTGAAAAATAGAGGGTACCATTTTAAAAAACTTCGATCACATTGACCTAGCCTTGCAAAAGCCACTTAAGGTCACACCAATGGTACTATCTTATGTCCCCCTTGAAGTTACAAAACTTTTGTCTAAAGCATTTTTCCTTAAAATGTACTTGTTCAAGAAATATTTAAGATGGTCAATTAAAATGAGACACTTATAAGATTTCTATATATTATTATATAGAGAGAAATTACTAATATTTAATTTTTAACACTCAAATTTTCTCGTTTAAAAATATATCACGTTATAATTTGTTTATATTATTTATATTATATATTTGTAGATAGAATGCCATGTCGGTGGACCGGTTCTTTTGAACCTAGTATTGCAACTAATGTTAAACAAAACTAACCAAGAGAAAGAAAAAAATGTTCTTCCCGCGATTGCACTCGGAACATATACGGCGCAAATTAATCAGCTACAGTTATTAAATGAGATTTTGTGGAGAAATAGTATCTCATTAACAAATAAACAATGCAATTCAAACAACAATGATTTGGCAACATTAAAATTTTACTTGCATTTATATTCATCCACGATCCACAAAATGGACATGGAGCACGACATAAAAAAACAAGTTAAGAATTGCGCGGACGATATCAAATCCAGTGATTATTTCAAGTCGGTCGAAGAATTGCATGAAGCATATAACGAGATAAATATTATCGATGATGAGAATGAAGAAGAAAGTTTTTCTAAAACGCTTCAACGAGGGAAAGGGTGGATGATACTTGGTTATATACAATTAATGCTCTTTGGAAATTTAGATCTCATCGATCCCGTGCATAAAGTGGAACTGAAGTTGCAGTACTTAGAGGAAGACATCAACGATTTTAGAAAAACGATATACGTTACAATGTTGCAAGATCGTATTCTGGGAATATCAGCAGCAAATGAGCATCCAAGATTTGCAGAGATGAGAAACTGTGAGAAGCGCTTGCTGAAGATGAGAGATGATCTCAACTGTCTGAGAGCGTTTAGGCCAGCGTCTGTCAATTTCGCCTCGCTCAGCAAAGATAGCGCTGATTTCAGGAACAGAGTAGGTTCTTACACATTAGTGAAAAAGCACATTAACAATCTGTATATGATCGCAGATGAAATCAGTCGAGATTGTGAATTAACCGATCTGACAAATGCGGAGACCATTTCGCGAGAAGCGGAAATTTGGGGCTTATCAGTGCAACGATTCGCCGAGCAGATCAGAACAAAATATCTGTCGGCTTATCCAGATGTAATTCTTCCGTTGTTGACAGCGTTGGCTCAGTTAAATCATGGTGTTTTCATACTAATTAACGAGATCCGACGGTTGATATCTCTGCGTAAAAATGGAGAAGCCGATCTCGAATCTTTGATATATAACTTGATTCGATTCCCAACAGTCGGCCTGCAGCAAGAAAATCTTTTGAATCTGAGTGATTTATGTGTTTCCACAAATATGAGGAGTCTAGTTGGCAAGAATTCATGCTCTACGGACACGTTTGTCAGGATGCAAGAGCAGTTCCGAATATTCAAGTCGGGTTTATATGAATTGCACAATCACGTGATTCTTAACAAAGGTCTGACTAAGTCATTATGGCGAGACATGAACAAATTATTACAGCAAATAGTTCTGATCTGGAAGCAACAACAACTGGAGGAAGAGAAACGAACCGTAGAGAGAGACAGTCTATACAAAAATAAAATTGAGAGTCACAATGATACATTGACGGAGGAAGAAGAGATTGCTCTGGAAATTCGCAAGCTATTTCCATCATATCGTGAAAAGGACTTTAACGATATAGAAGATGAGTCGCAACCTTCCCTCAACGAGAAGAGTATATCAACCCAATTGGACGAAACGGAGTCAAACTTCAGCGGTCTTATCACCAAGGATGATATCAGAGAGATCCAACAGATCCACTCGAATATCGTCAAGTCCTTCATGGCGACCAAGTGGATATGCAACAATTCTGCTTTGACAAATTCAACGAATTACATCGGGTCTCTGATTCAAAGATATAACACGATATACGGGATGCTCAATAACATACTGTCGAGTTTAAGCGAAGGACTCGCAGTCAAACTATACAACAGCTTGAACTTTTTGGTTACTTTGGGGTTGCAAGCGAGCCAAGAGAAAAGCTCAGATCGAACTTTGCGAGAAAACACATGGTCCGAAGGACGAATGAGAGCGTACGATTTCTACAAGGATTGCAATGTCGAGGAAGTGAAGCAGTGCCTACCGTTGTGCGAGAATATCCTAAATCATGTTGATAATCTGCTAAAAGAATGGCCAGAACATCCCACTCTGAGATCGATACGATGTATAATAGAAAGGATTTACACATTTTCGGTTACTTCACCTATTTCCAGATTTCTAACAGGTTTGGAGTTGTTGCTTGTCAAGATGCATCAATGGGAGGAGAACGCACACAGTGGCGTCAGCATGACGGATCATGTGTTAAAGTTAACGCAACAGATAATATATTGGAGAAAACTGGAATTGTCTTGCTGGAAGGGTTGTCTTGATGCAACATATGAGAATCTCAGATCGGATACGTCCAAATGGTGGTTCTTTTTGTATGCATTGATTGAGAGTTACGTTACGAAATCTGAAAAGGATAATGTTCAGGAAACAAACGATGAGCCTATCACCAAGCAAAAATTCATAGAATCGCTAGAGCATTTCATGAACCAGTCATCCCTTGTTGAATTCGAATCGTGCTTAGATCTTCTCTTGACGTTCCACTGTCATGTATATTATTTTGATGATAGTGATAACAAGAATGAACTTTTGGCCATATTATGGAACGTGTACAATTATTACAAACAGTTCGTAGACAATGTGAACGCGAGAATTGCCGTTTTAAAAGCGCCCATCGAAAAGAAGTTGAAGGACTTTGTTAAAATTGCACGATGGAACGACATTAGCTATTGGGCTGTGAAAGAAACAGTTGAGAAAACGCATCGAACTCTGCATAAATTAGTAAAGGAGTTCCAGAATGCCCTAAAGCAAGCCGTGTCTTCTTGCTTGACTGTTAAATCGGCATCTTACAGTACAGAGATAAGCAAAGGCATCTGGGATGATGAGGAACATCATAAGCACATAACGAGACCTGAAGATTTTATCATAACAAAATCTTCGCAGTCTGTAGACGTGAAAGTACAATTTACAAGCGAACTTATTACGTTACTAACGAAGGCCAGAAAGGCTCCTTGTCTATGCAAGGAAATAATCCTGGTAAATTCTTATCCGAATGTACGAAAAGAATTCGAAAATTTTATTGAAAACTACATGGAACAGAGCGTACGTCTTCGGGAAATAAACATCGATAGAAGTCTACCGAAGAATAAGCAGAAGTCTCAGGCGAAAAGTATCTTGCAACAGAAGAAAATGACGCTCGCCAATTATTTCAAGGAGTTAACTCAAATGGGCATATCTTATCGCACTGGTATATTGACATTGAAGAATAATGTGGATAAAGTAATAGATTTTACAATATCACCTTTGGATCTTTCCACAATCGGTCAATATTTTAAACTGAAGAAAGCTGACCAGAATATGCTGACGCAGTGGAAAGGCTGCGAAAAATATTATTATAAGTCTCTCATCAGATTAAATGCTCTCAATGCGATGCTCAGCACAAATCAGACCGACCTAGGATTGCAGAATATAGAACGTTGCCGAGGATATTCCGCGCATTTAATGCTGATAGCCCATATGCAGAAAATGACAATCGTTCAGTCATTCGATCGTTTCTCGTCACTTCGTGCACAGATTTTAAATTTGTCCGAAACACGCGAGCAAGATTTAAATATGCTAAGACAGAACAAAAGCAATTCGAGTAACGATTCGTTCATGAAACGCGTAGAGAACCTGAAGACATTGCTGATTACGTTGGAAGTTGGATTTGAACAACTGCTGCTGTTTTTGCAATGCTGTCCCGTGGAATCATCAAGTAATCCGAACAGAGCCAAACTTACGTTAGATGCAAATGCGCTTCCTATAATTACCGCCTCTCAAAATGACGAGATTTGGAAGAATGCAAATGCTATGTTGAAGGATAGTTTAAATTCAGTAAAAGCTACTGCAAAACGTTTTCACACATTATTTATGCCATTTGAAGTCTTATCAGTAGATCATTTTGAACAATCTACTCATATTTCATTTGCAAGTTCAAAGCACTTTGAATTCTTGGAGCAATGCTGTACTACAATCAAAGACTTAAGAGCGCAATTTAAAAATATAAAACTATTATTTAAGAATTTGGATGTTGTGCATCCTATTTGGGAAAATATAGCATTTTTAGACACGAAGATGGAATGCTTCCTTCAGGATAATTGCATGCTATTCAAAAAATTGCAAACATCCACAGATATTGAAAATGAAGAGCAATTGAAGAAAGGAAATTACATTATCGAACGATATGAATCAGATTTAAAACATTTAATAAATATAATATTGCTTGTAATACAGAAGAAATTTAAAGATATCAAAGAAGATATGTTGCATATGAATAAAAAACCGAATGAGGAGAATATCAACATACAGAAAGAAGCAGAAGAAAAATTGAAACTTGTAAAACTTGTTGAATTGCTCGAACGGGATATAAAGAATGAATTAAAGCTGGCTGATATATATAATTTATTTTCCAATCTTTTGCTACTAATACGTAAATTCGATGATCCGCAATCAGCAAATCATTGTATCAGGTAACAATAATTCTATTTAATATTGACAATGTTTCTTGATAGAATCATACTTTTATTCAATACTTTTATTAAAAAGAAGCATATTATTTTTCTGTACCTATGAATAAAAATATTAATAAAATTTTGCTAACATGAAGTAGGAGCTACAAATTTCACAAAATTAATAAAAATCTATTATTATTTCTTTCAGGTTGCTCTTAAAATGTTTACCTCTATTGGAACAATATATCTTGTTCGTTCAATTTTATTTAAACGAGCAAGTAGCGTCATTCCGTATTACATGTAAAATATTGTACCTGCAATTAAATGTATTCTTAGATTTAGCTGCAAATGGGTTCTGCGTGCCAAAAGATTTAGATCTCGAAGAAAGCGAAATGAACGAATCGGAAGAAAAGACAGAAAAAGGCGGGATGGGTTTAGTCGAAGGTGAAGGAACGAAAGATGTTTCCGATAGAATAGAATCCGAAGATCAACTTGAGGATGCAAAACCTGCGGATCAAGAACGAGAGAAACAAGATGATAAAACTTGTAAGGAAGAGGAGAAAGGAATCGACATATCTGAGGATTTCGATAGCAAGCTTCAAGATATGGAAAAGAATGACAATGATGAAGAGCAGAGTAACGATGACGAAGAAAATGATTTGGATAAAGAAATGGGAGAAATTGAAGAAAGTGCTGAGCAGCTTGATAAAGAAATCTGGGGAGATGATCAAGAAGAATCCGAAACGGACAATCAGCAGTCGGAAAATGAAGAGGAAGGTACAGGCGAACAAATCGGTGAAAAAGAAATGAGTGCGAGGGATGATAACGGTAAGAGAAAACAAGATGATGATGACAATACGAATCATGACGAAAATCGGCAAGAGGAAAATAAAAAAGAAATTAATGAGTTGAATGAACCAGAAGTAGATGAGGATCATATTAATCCTTATCACGGCAAATTTCAACCTCAACCGGAACCCGAACCGCTTGACTTACCAGAAGATATAAATTTGGATGAAAACGGTAAGGAAGACAACGGTGGCGAGGATGAAAATCCATTTGATATCGATGAGATGAAAAAACCGCCATTAGAAAAAGATTTAGAACTCAAGAAAGAATCTGAAGAGATTAAAGAAAATGATCCTGAAGAGAATTCTAGTGAGGACGAAGACGACAGTAATACCGATAAGGAAAATCAGGAACATAAAATGGAAGAATATGAAACTAATAAGAAAACTGAAGAAAAAAGTGATGAGAATACAGAAGTTGAGAACAAAGATGAAGAGCAGAATCAAGATAAAAAAGTGGAGGAAGAACAACTACAAGAAAAGGCAGCACCGAGCGCAAATGATGCGAGCAAAGAAATGGATGCTACACAACAAATTGAAGAAACGACGAAAGGTTCACGTGATACAGTAGCGCAACAATCAGATACGAAAAATCAACAGGAAACTTTATCTGAGAATACTCAAGAGGATAATATTGATAAAGGCACAGGTCAATCACAATCGGCACAACAGGAAAGCGGGCATTCAGGATCATCTAAGCAGGAAACTGTTTCGTCACCGCAAAATAACACTATGACAAAACCAGTCGAGAAGAGGAAGAACTTGGGTGAGAGTAACGAGGATCGCAGTCTGTTGGACAGATTTGAGTCGACGCTAAAGAAATTAAAAACGACTTACACGCAAGACGAAGTATCGATCGATAAAAAAGATGATACAAGCAATGCCGATGATAATAAGGTTGAGATGGCTCAACACATTAAGGATTCCGAGAAATTCGATGATTACACACTCGACGCCGCAACAGAAGATCAGATCAAACAACAAGCTTCTAATATGGATAAGGATAAAAATGAAGAAGAGAAAAAGGACGACATTATGGATGTAGAAATGCATGAAGATAAGGAAAATGATGTGACACATGATAAAATAAATGAACACAAACCCGAAAAGGTCTCTGAAATTGCAGATAACCAATCCAAAAAGGATTCCGATGGTAAAAGAAACATGGAAAACAATCAAATAGAGACAACAGTCGAATTAGAAGGAGAAACAGCAGAGACAATGAAAGTGGAGAGAGGAAACGAATCTACATTTCATACGATGGAATGGAATACCGAAGAAAATAATCTTTACTCTGATTATGTGGAAAGAAAGCGATACGAAATGGAAAGAATGTTGGATGAATGGACGCAAGTGCCTTCCACAGAAGAAGCTACAGCTGCATGGAATTGTTTGTGTTCAGTTACAGATGCAGCTGCTAGGGATTTATCCGAAAAATTAAGATTGGTGTTGGAGCCCACGCAAGCATCGAGACTAAAGGGTGATTATAAGACAGGCAAACGCATCAATATGCGAAAAATCATTCCTTATATAGCTAGTCAATTTCGCAAGGATAAAATCTGGCTCAGACGCACGAAACCCTCGAAACGTGATTATCAGATCGTTCTCGCATTAGACGATTCCAGCAGCATGGCAGATAATCATTCGAAAGAATTGGCGTTCGAATCCTTGTCGTTGATTAGCAAGGCTATGACATATCTTGAAGTGGGACAACTTAGTGTCATAAGCTTCGGGGAGCAAGTAAAAGTATTGCATCCTTTAGGAGAAGCTTTCACAGAACAAAGTGGATCTAGGTATTTTTATATAATTTCTATAAACTTTTAATATTTAATTAAATAAAAATTGAATATATATGGCTCCGAAAATAAAATTAGATGAATGATATTAATCTTAGTCATTACTTTACTCATTTAAACTTGTCAATTACAATTGTTTAATCTTGTTTTACTTAGAATAATCCTAATTGATTTTATTAAATAATATAATTGGAATTTTACATTTTATTTAAGATTTTTTTTCTATTTATAGGCTAATACAAGAAATGAGGTTTGATCAAAAAAAGACAATGATTGGACAATTAGTCGATTTTACAGTAGATATGTTCGAGAGTCAATGTGTTTCATCCGACAATGCTAAACTGTTGGTAGTATTATCGGATGGTAGAGGAATATTTTCAGAAGGAAAAGAAAAAGTGAATTGTGCTGTCAGGAGAGCCAGACTTGTAGATATTTTTCTAGTGTTTATAATAGTCGACAATCCAATTAATAAGGTAATTTTTAATCATATTTAAAAATGATGAAGAATTATTACATTTTCGGATGAATGTAATAATTTATCTAATTGATAAACAAGAATAAAAGTGTAAGACCCGATTGCACCAACATTATTTTAAGCGAAACTTAAAACTCACTTTCTCTCTTTAAAGTCAAGAGAAGGAGAGATAGAGATATTTTAAGTTTCGCTTAAAGTCAAAATAATGTTGGTGCAACGAGCGTAAGAGCATAAGAGAGTTAAAGTCGAAGTTTATCAAAAGATGAAACAATTCAACGAGTAAAAGAGTGAACTAAAGTTTATCGAAAGATGGAATAATCCAGCCTAAGTTAATAATTACAATAATAATAATTCTGTCTAAATACTATTTAGACAGAATACTATAAAAACGCGTTTAAAAAACTATTATTAATAGCCTATTAATTTTTTTCAGGATTCAATATTGGATATCCGTATGCCTATATTTGAAAAAGGAAAATTATTAGGAATTCGATCGTATATGGATAATTTCCCATTTCCTTTCTATATGATTCTTAGAGACATAAACACATTACCGGGTGTTCTGAGCGATGCTTTACGCCAATGGTTTGAAGTAGTCGGAAAAAATTGATACTTAAAAGAACTATAATAATTTCAAATATTCAGACTTAAGAAATTAGTATAAAAGTTGAACTTTATATAAAACTAATAAATAAATATTAGGTGAGAAAAAGTTCATGGCGTTTTTTAATGCCATCTAACGGGAAAAGCGCCACGAACTTTTTCCCATACCTAATATATATAAGTATATATGTATATATGTAAGATACGCCTTTTATGCAGAGTGTCTATGCATATGTATGTGTGTATTATCATAATATGATATCACAAGTTTTTAGATATATTTTTAAACGAAATTGTGTCGAAAATATAAATACGTTTTAGTAATAAAAAAATTCTTTAATAAATCATAAAATCTTCTGATATTTAAATAAAAATTAACTTTGCACAACTAAGGATCTTTTTCATTAATTTCTGATTAAATTAATCAACGATTATAACTCAATTACAAACAGAAGTGCCAATAGCAATTTAATTTATCACAATATCTCTTTTTTTCTTTTCTGAAATAAATTGTGTTTAACTCTCACGATGGCAATCATGATTGAGTTAACCATCGATTATCGTTAATCGAAATTGGTGAAAGAGACTAATAGCGAATGCAGTCACTTGCTTACATTAGATTAGGCGATTCGGGTTTTTAGTACATGCACGACGATAAAGTATCAAATACAGCGATATAGCAGAAGATGGACATATAATTAATTTTGCACATTAAAAATTATAAAATTAATAAAGTTAATTGTAAAAGCATATAAATATTTTAAACGATTAAACAATTAATGTTATTATCACGTTATTTAATGAAATATTCACATATTATTTCATTGTTAAAGATATATTATACCACTGCATTAAGTACTTTATGTAAAGCGCTTTTAATGAATACTAATCCAATATATAATGAGAAATCATACGCAATGAACCGAATTCACTATAAGTTACATAAGCTGTGTTTCAAAATTTACTGTACTGAAAATCTCTACATTACTACAGACTTTCTTCAATATGGCGATAAATCTTGGAACTCAATAATATGATTAAGATGAAAAATTAAGCTAATATTAAATTTGTTATCTTCTGTTCATCTTTTGCATTAAATTTAACTTATTTAATTTTATCATAGTCTCTCGGAATAGTACATCGATTTTTATTTAATCCCCTAATGGCGTCTTAAAAAAAAATTACCTTACTATTAATTACTAAAATTACTTAAAAATTTTCACCGTTTTTGCCATGATTTTTGTTAAAAAAAATGACACATAAAAAGTCAATGTGTTGCACTATCGATATATATCGCGTGTACAAGGAGAGATATATCTAGTCTTTCTAGCAGATAGAAATACTTCAGTGTTCAATGCGAAATACATTTCTATCATCAGTTTTTGAATGTAATTAATTTGCAGATCCTGAATTTAATTTTAAAATAAACGCTGCAAATTTACAACACTTACTAAAGGGTTAAATTAATGAATTTTTTTAATATAGAAATTCATCATAAGATAATTACAAAAGTGATCCAATAATTAAGACAAGAGTTAAATTATTAATGTACTGAATATTACTATTAATAATCACATACAAGTTATTTTAATATAATAATTGTTTGTCGTTTTATAATAGTACATACATAACTAACAGTCTCCAGATAACACAAAGTCCAAAATCGGGACATAAACATCTAAAAAATATTTAAAAACTCTCACAAGCACTTAGGCTAGTATTCACAGTTTTTGTTCTTAATTTCAAGACCGCTCAAGCAATGTCTTAAAATGCAAATACGACTCTTGACCGATATTCATAATTCTTATATTCAAGATCATCTTAAGTTCAATCTTGAGATGTTATGAACCAATCAGAAAGCCGCATTAACGTCTTAAAACATTACTTAAAAAAATATAAAAAAGCCCGTCAGAGACTACATCGGCTGTTCCGATGCACAGAAAATTCTTTATTTTTGTGTGAATGTAACAAAACGAATAAAATAAAAGTTTCGACTCTTCACTTTAGATCCTTATATAGAATATAAATCTAAATTACATAAGTAACGCAAATTCCAAGATAATTCCTGACAATTTAGCTCATTCTTTTTTATGCATTACTATATAATATTAGTAATGTCAAATTAGCTATGTAATGAATAGGCAAATGATTATCAAAAATATTAACCTATATAATAATATAAAAACTTATAGTAAAACTGGAATCATACATTGCGTCAAAAAAGTAGAATCACATCGCTCATCAAATTCATCATATCATTCAAAAGAAAAACGAAAACTGAAACAATTAGAGAATCATTAAAATTATTTATCTGAATTTTAATTTTGTTAATTTCATTTATTTTATTCGTTTTGTTACATTCACGAAAATAAAGGATTTTCTGTGCATCCGAACAGCTGCTGTAGACTCTGATGAGTTTTTTCACTGATAGATATTTTTCACTGATAGATTCTTTCGAGCCTCATTTTATAAATTTAACATTACTTAAGTCTTGGAATAAGACTTAAGTAATGTCTAGTAATGAGAGAACTATGATCTTGAAATAAGAACTGATTATGAATACCAGCCTTCTGATTGATTTATGATATATTGTACTCAAGTAGCTTAAAATCATCTCGAAACTTGAGCAACGTTTATGGATTCCATTCTTAAAATGTGAAGTGTCAAATGTTATTAGACACTGAATTTTTAGCGCATGTGCGTCGAATGTTTCAATAATATATATGAATAAGTATCCATAATGCGATCTTTACATGATCAATAATGCATCGGCTACACGAAATAAAAAGTAAGAGTAAGAAATTGACCAATCATAATCAAATGTGAGAAAAATAATCGACTATGATTGGTTAATTTCTTACTCTTAAAATGACCCTTACTTCTTATTCCGTGCATTGTATAAATGCACGCATAACACTGATTAGTAATATTGAATGTAATACTAGTAGTATATATCAGTATTTTTGCAACCTTACATAATCAGTATTACTGATTCATATTACTGATTCATAATATTTCAGTACAGTTTTATAAGTATTATGTTTATAAATTAACTATTTTTCTTCTGGATCGAGCCTACCAAGATTCAGAGCGCGTTCACATCTTAACAGAAAAATAGAATGCAAAAAATAGCAGCTAATCAGAACTGTAAGATAATCAGAGCTGTATTCATTGTTTCATTATCACGTATGCGCTAAAAACTCGGCCTATTTAACAATACTCATGGGCTTTCTACAATAAACTATTATCTAAGCTTAAGTCTTAAGAAATTGATCAAAGTCAAATGTGAAAAGAATAATAGACTATAATTAATTTCTTATGGCTTAAGACTTAAAGCCTAAGTAACAGTTTATTGTAGAAAGCTCATCAGTCTTATGTCCTGATTTTAGATTCTGTGTTGTCTATATCTACTTTCTGTACCTAGTAAATTATATAACGTCTTGATTAATTAATTCAAGTATTTTGTACTAAGCTTAACCAACTTCTGCCTTCTCCATCTACAGAAGTCGGAAATCTAATCTGTACTAATCGCACATTCTTATCTTCTTCTTGCGAAGCGGATGGTACAACTATTGTCTCGCCTTCTTCGTTCTCGTTATAAGTGTATACCGTTTCTACTTCAGTTTCAACTTTACAATCGTCTGCAGTAACTTCACTCTCCACAAAATTTATCTATGAAACAAAACGATGTTTAATGTAATAAAATAATAAATTATTTTGCATCCCCAAACTTTTAAAAAATTCTATTATTTTACCTGATCTTCAACAAGATGATTTACTTCATCAGTTACGGTTTCTTCTGCTGGTATATTTAATACAACATCCTCTTCATTATATATCTGATCTTCCCCTTCTTGTATAATAACATGATCTTTCAGTTCAGTTACGTATAATCCAGTTTCACCAAGCTAAATAAGCAACAATGTATAATATATAATAAAATTTCATACCTTACGACACACACACACACACACACACACACACACACACACACACACACACACACACACACACACACATGTATACATATATATTTTACGATGTATATAATTTAATAGGTTTTAGGGGTGTGCAGATATCGAGATTTCGGGTTCGGATCAGGAATTTTTTCAAGTCGAGAACCTGAATGTTTATAATGTTCAAGACCCGTAAAGAATACTACCCGAATTTAAAATCGAGCAGTGATTATAAATGTAGAAACTATCTAACGACACAAATGTGATATTCCGGGTATCTAAAATTTACTGGTATCTGAACATTATAAATATTCGAGTTCTGACTCCGAAAAAAATTCCCGATCCGAATCCGAAGCTCGAGTAATTTCAGAAACCCGCACATCCCTAGTAGTTTTGTATTTATATATATTTGTGTACATTTTTTATTTGTGAATGCATAAAAGCATAAAAAGTTAATAACTTAAACATAAGTACACACTATATATGTATGTATGTATGTATGTGTGTGTGTGTGTGTGTGTGTGTGTGTGTGTGTGTGTGTAAATATATACACACACACACACACACACATATATAATACATATAATATATATTTTTTTTTCCACATATACATATATATGTATATATTTTTTTTTCTGTATATATCACAAAATTACCTCTTCATTCTCAACTTTTTCCATTAGTAGTTCGTTATTATTGGGAATAGTTATTACTTGCTCTTCTTCCGTTGTCAATCGTGGTTGGTTTACTACTATGGTATCATTCAAATGACCCTAAATAATATTTTATAGATCAAATGTATTATAGTATAAAAACTAAATCTTGAAATATTTAAATCTTGAAATATTAATACAAATAAAAAAATAGAATAAAAAACGAGCCATTAAGAGCATTAATATGCGATAATTAATGCGAATATCATAACTATGTACATTTCGATCTATTGATCTATTGATCTATTGATATTATATAAAATATCATTGCCCGTTTTTTATTCTATTTTTTATTTATATTATAGTATATTAGAATAATCTATAAAGCTTACTTTAGATGATATAATTCACGATCAAATTCGGAACAGAATTCTATTTATAATATTATATGTTGTGTAACATAAAAAAATATTTAAAAAAGTAAAATATACACATATAAAAAATACATATTAGTGATACATATTTCTATATTGTATGAGTATTTTACGTCTTCAAATGTTTTCTATTACACAACATGCAAAATTATAAATAGAAGTCTGTGCCGAATTTAGTCGCGAATTATAAATTGTCTATAAAGTGGATTTTATACCATTATATCATTATGAATATATTTTATATCATTATGAATATATCAAAAATAAGAAGCAAAAAAGAATTTGCTAATAGATTAAAATGTTTTTCTTTCTCATATATTACCTGAACTTGCATGTGTGCGTAAAGTAATGGTTTTCTCATGAAACCCATGCCACACACCAAACATTCATATGGCTTTTTATCGCTATGTATAAATCTGTGAGCGTTTCTGTTATCTCTGCTATTAAATGCTTTGCCGCAAACCTAAAAGGCAGCAAATTTATGAGTACAAAAACATAAAAATAAAAGTAACCGATTGAGAAATAGTTAGAAAAAACATTTCTAAAAACTATTCTAATAATAATTTTAAAGATCATACCTCGCAAAGATATGGTTTTTCGCCTGTATGTATACGTGTATGCTTCTTAAAGTGCTCAGGGTAGACAAATGTAGCTGCACATATATCACACTTATACGGTCTTTCACCAGTGTGCGCCGCTTTTATGTGATAATCCAATAATCTTTTTCTTTTAAAACCTTTTCCACATTCGTCACACTTATAACGTTTATCATTATAATGCGTCGCTCGCTTGTGAGATTGTAGATTCGATCTTTGACTGCAAATAATAGTAACGATATTAATCGTTTGTTACCAATTCATTTAAGCATAGAGAATTGTATAACCCTTTAATTTTTATTACTCACCTAAATACTCACCTAAATGTAGCTCCACAAAACTCGCACTGATAAGGTTTCTCACCTGTGTGAGTTCTCTCATGATCACGAATTTCCGCTTTACGCGCAAACGATTTACCACATATACTACAGTCATAGGGTTTAAATCCGGTATGTACTATATTATGTACCTCTAAATTATGTGCAGAAGTAAAAGCCTTACCTTTAATTTTAAGAAAGATGTTAAAAAGCAAATAAGAAAATACTAACAAAAAAAAAGATAATTAATTCCCGAAATTAATACAAAGAATAAAATAAATCTATTAATTAAATCTATTAATTATATGAAATATTATAAATCTTACCACACTGATGGCATACAAATTCCTTTGTGCCATTATGCGTTCGTTCATGTTGATTCAAATTTTGCTGGCTCAAAAATGTTTTATTGCACTGAGTACACTCGAATGGACGAGGTCGTATTTCGTGCGTTTTTACGTGCGCTTTGTATGTATACTTGGATGCGAAGTCCTTGCCACAGATTTCACATATATATGGACGAACACCAGTGTGTGTGTTTATATGTTCCTCTAATAAATTTTTGGAACTAAAGCAAAAAAAAAGAAAAAATATATGTATTAATTATTTGTTCTTTTTTCTTATTATTTATATTTTATTATTTATAGGGTTTCATAATACTATACTTGTATCTCTTTCCACATGTTTCACAGGGCCATGATTTTACTTGCGGATAATGTATTCTTTTATGAATACGGAATAATCGCAAATTACTAAATATTCTATTACATATTTCGCATTGAAAGTCCCCTTCCTCTTTTGCGACGTGATCATCGAGATGTGTGGAAAGTTCGTTTCTCTTTCTAAAATCCTGCCCACATACATCACAAATATACAAACGTAAGTCATGTACGTCTTTCATGTGAGTTATAATGAGTTTAGCATCTGCCGTGAATTTTTCTTCGTCGTTTGGACATACCAAACAGGTGTATGAAGATTCATTTCTAAATACAATCTAAAAAAAGATGTCATTAATTCATATATTATATATATAAAAAAAAAAACATTTATGTATAATTTATGTATAATTTATAGTCCGTATTCAGAACGTGTTCATAACGATGTTAACGCGCTTTTATCGATAAAACATGCTATATATAATATATATAATTTACGTTATGCATATATAGAATTTTAGAAATAAAAACGCACTTTTATCGATAAAAGCACGTTCTGAATACAGGCCTATATTACTAGAATATGAATTCTTCCATACATCTTCTTGAGGTTGTTCTACTTTAATTTTACTCTTCTTTGATTTCTTTGTATCATTCGAATTACTTGTTTCATCTTCTTCTTCAACTTCTGTGAAGTAATGTAAAGAGTTATCTTGTTCTATAAACAATTCTTGTTCTTTTTTTTCTTGCGTAATCTCTTCTGCACTTTCCTGCACTTCCTATGAATATTAGTTATACTATTAAATTGGGTCTCTTTACAGAATGTTGATTAGCTTAATCGGCGTTTCATAACGTAACCTTGTATCATGATAACTTTATATAGCATTTTACCTTTGTTAAAATATTTTGACTTTCTGTATTGTCTGTATAATCATGATCGTTATATTCTTCATTTTGAAATATATCACACAACTTGTGAACTTCAATTGTCTTTTTATAGCTGTTACATAATTCTGTTTTGAGTTTCGTTACTTTACTTTTAAGTTCATCTGCCTAAAATGGTAAAAAAAGTATTTTTTTATCAATTTTATAAATTTTTGTCAAAAAAACTATATCACAAAAACCATAATTGTTTTTACCTCATTGAACTGCTTAAAACACTTTTTGCAAATGATAGGAGAATGCACAGAGTCATGACTAATATCAATGCCTAAAACAGCTGATATAACATCCACAAGTGGTTTCTTAGATATGGTATAAGACTCATCAAAGATGGGTATACTGTTTCTAGCAGATAGCCCAACTTTAGTGTTACACACCAAACAACATTGCATAGAATCTTTATCGAAATCAGCCATCATGTTTCACTACTGTAAATGAGATATTTTATTGTTAATGGTATTAGATATATAAGTTAGAAATATTATTCTGCTGCTAGAAATATTATTCTTCTCTAGCAATAAAACTTCTTTATCTCGTTAATCAATCTACTTTCTGAGAGATTCATATATAAATCTATTTATTACGTCTCATTAAGCAAAATATTAGCATTTAGGCAAATTCAAACTGATATTCATATCAATTGTTTCAATTGTATATTAATAACCTCGTGTTCTATCTGCAGAGGTGATATAATTTGATAACCATCAGAATGTAATTTGTTAAATGGAAAAATTGCTAAATAAATTATTTAAAATTAAATAGCAAATTTACTGTTTTGCCAACAGTCAATCTGCCAGATTGTTATTATATTTCTATTGGTCTATTATATAACTATCTCTAAAGACACTTTGCAAAATTTGTTTTGAACAGATTTGAATCAAGATTGTGATATAATACAGTGTTTTTCAGAACATCCTGAATCATTATCGAGATTCGACAAGAAAATTGTCTTTAAAAGACAATTATTTAACATCCATAATTGTCACCTCATGTTTCATATATACATACACACACATATATATATATAT